ACATGGAATTAGTGTTGAAAAGAAAAATGAAACAATGAAGGAATTTGAATGTTTACTCAAAACCAACTTCTAAGTGGGTTGTCTGACCCCGCAATGCAATTACGTCATCGAAAAATTCAAGTGACGTCACAACAGAACGTGACGATATTCGACCTTGGCCTTTGCCAAGACCTTGGCCTGCAGCATGTCAAAGTATGGCCGCCATTATGTCTGCAACAACGTCAGTTTCCAGTGTTCGGTTTTGGTCCAACAACAACGTTAATAGTGCAATTGTTAAGGTTAGCACCAGCAAGAAGGCCAACATTACCGCTGAAGCGGGAATTCGCGTTGCTTTGACTTGTTTGCCCCAGAATATCTGCCAGTCCAAAGCCAATGTCGAATGAACCTTAAGTCATTTCAACATTTTCTTGAACAGAAAATCGGCGTTCACGTGAGCAGGTTGGCCTATTCGGATATTCTAAAGCGTTTGCTGGCATCTTGGGGGACAACACGTGCTGGAGGATTTCACTAGATGCTCTCTTTTGCGCGCTACTGGACCCTGAAATGTAATGCTTGAGTGATTCCTCGGACTTGTGCTTCGTGATGTTGCAGATTTGTTTTACATCTACGCCTGCCTGAAACAGGTATGTGATGGTGGAAGCTCTGACTAAATGACAAGTGTATACCTGTGATAAACCAGCCTTTTGGAAATCTTCTGCATAATGGTGCCCAATATGTTCTTTCCCAAAGGAGCATTATTGTACCAAACTGATTTCTCGAAATCCTTCCGAGGAGCCTGGAAAAGAGCATCGCAGTCAGGATGGAGTTTTGACAGATAGAAGAGATAATACTGACTGGATCCTTGGATTACTGCCTTGCCAGTTCTTTGTTTTCTCAGCCGAAGTGAAGGTAAGAAAGTGCTTGTCATTATCGTCACGCTTCAGTTGAAGTGTCGATTTGGTGAAACTTCTCCAACCCTCACGTCCCCGTCTTCCCAGAAAGAAACACAGATTGAACCAAACCATTTCTTGAAGCCTGGTTGGGTCAGTACTCTCTAAATCCCAAAAATATTCTGACAATTTGTCCATATCTCCTCGCTCAATGCAAGGTTTGTGTTGTAGGGATCTTCCTCCCTCTACAAAGTAGGTCGTACAACGAGATTCGAACATGCTGTTTGCGTTTGTAAACTCTTTATCAGCCGTTATGTTTATGTTACGCGAGAAAGGTGGATCTTTTAGAGTACGATGAATTGCAGGTCTCAATGATCTCAATGTGCTAGGGGTGGGAAGCTCAGCTTTCTTAGTGCGGTACTCAGCATAGAATTTTCGTAATATTTTGGCCAGTTCTTCCGTTTCGACTGGTTTTAGATCAATGTTGATATTACGTCGAGATGCCCAGTCTAAAAAACAACAAAAAATAAAATTTGTAAGACAAACTCGTGACGGTTTTAGTTTCTGGCTCATTATTTACTATATCGAAATTGCTATATAATTAGGCTTAGCGTCAAAGCTCACCAGTGAATGCCTTGGTCACCCAGCAAGTTTGCTTTTTGAGTATTTGCTGATTTCCCTTCCATTTGGAGTTTATCAAGTTCGTCTTCATCTAAATCGCTGTCAGTTTCATTGATATCCGATTTTTCGACCCAGAGAGAATCGGTTGGTTCACGAAGCGCTCGTTCAATCTCCCGAGCCGACGCTGCCGTACCAACACAATCAGAGGCCATCTTGTATTGTCAGCGTTCGGCATTGTCTGCCCACGCACCCACTATGACGTCACTTGACACCAGAACTGATAGTGGCCAGTCTTTAAAGTTGAGCGGTCCAATATCATTTGCAAATTTCTGATAATGGGAGAGCCGTTTCATAATAATTCCATGTATTTTAGCTATAAAAAATAGATAATCTGAGTACAGAGCAGTCATAACGTTTTTTTGGGATGGAGGGTTACCCGGTGAAGCATATTGAAGAGCGACAGCAGTATATAGGAAGTCGTGCCAATCTTCTGAAACCATCAACCGATGGGTGAGGGAATTCCAGTGCGGTAGAGAGGGTCTTGAAGATGACCCCCGTCCTGGTCGGCCAACAACCAGCACCAGCCCGGAAAACATTGACCAGGTGCACACACTGGTAATGAGCAACCGTGGAATCTCCATCCATCAGTTAGAGAAGTGGCATCTCATATGGATCAGATGTAACCATCCTGCATGAACATCTCCACATGTCTAAGGTTTGCGCAAGATGGGCCCCAAAAATGCTCACCAGATAAATGGGGCACTATAAGTAAATGTCAGGAGACATGTCAATTTACAGTGCCGAAAACAAATTTTACCCGCGTATTCATTCACTGAACGAAACCATTTATTTCAGCATTTGGGAAATCTCGAAAGTAGCCTTAGTTTTGATTCTCAGTCAGCATGTGACGTGCTTTTAATTAATGTACTGGTGCAGTAATACAGATTTCTAAGTGCAGGAGATTTGGTAAGCCTTGGCAATAGTTACCGTCAAACCGAAACATGAGTCACATGAACCAATACAGATGATGACCTCCTTTTCAGCCGATCCGAATTTTCTCGTGTGAAAGTGAAAAGAGCCACTACAAAAAGCTTTGGCTGCACGAAACTCCACTTCCTTGTGTAATAAGAAAATGGTATTTACAAACGAATTTTAATTTTAAACTTTTCAAAAAATCGTATTTCTGTACTCATGCCAATAATGATTGTCACCCCCTTCCATTTTTTTTATTGAGAGGGGTGGTGGGGTGGGGTGGGGAAGGGGGTGACAACCATTATTGGCATGAGTATATATTTTATGGCAAGGTTTAGGCAGCATGTCGTTAACTGAGAGACACAGACTGCCCCTGTTTGATGAGGTCGTAAAATGATTCACAATTCAACTGGCTCACTGGTTACGCCTGTTATGTTATTTGCGCTTATTCGGTGTATTTTGTGAACTACAATGTGATTGATATGGTATATAGGCCGTACCAGATTTCCAGAGTTCCGTTTGTCTGAGAGCACGCTGTACGACGTGTTTGCAAGAATCGGAAGGAGCGTAGTGTTGAAATATACAAGTGATTAGATGTATCAATTAATACTGATTAATATTTATATATCCAGTTGAATCAGCTGGTCTCATAATTCTGGACTGGTTATTGTACTAAGTTGCGCAGTAGGACGGAACCCAGTCAGTAGGAAACGAGACTGTTGCGTAATCAATGTTTTGACTTGATACACACAATAACTAAATTGAAAGGCATATCGTGCTAAACAAGGTTTCAAGAGCACATACACATAAATGTCAATATCATTTACAGACTAAAGTCTTGAAAAAGGTCAAAGTTTATTGTATTCCTATCTTAGTAAAGAGGGTTGTTCAACCACACGCATATAAATATTGTAACAAAAATTCATGTCTAATCTTGGCTTCAAGTACAGAGATAATCAAGCTCTCAGCCATCAAAGTGATTCCAGCCAAGATACCAGCCTCATGCTGCATTTTATTAAGGTGACATACCTTTGTGCAGTCTGCTTCCAAGCTACAGTATCAGGTATAACAGTAAATTCCAGCACAAGTAACGTAAGTCATGTTTACAGTCGCCATCTTGAATTTTCTGACGTCACGTTTGCGTATCATGTGACCTTAGGATACTTATAAATAGAGCTGTCAAGGTTAGCGTCGGGGCGGCAATTTTGACTTCAATTGACAAGCAAGGGAGGGTTCCAGGGTTACGTCAAAGCTAAATTCTCATTTTCACATACTATGAGTAAGGCAGTTCCGGATCACTAACGAAACAACGACTGCATGCGCCTACGCGAAAAGATGTCTTAAGCGCCTAAGGGCAATTTCTGTCTTAGCAATGTTTCATGTTACTCACACCAAAATATGAAATCGATACGATCCTGATTTATTATAGAAAACTGGCAAAAGAAACGTTGCGCCATTACGGCAGTTGCGAATCAGTTCAGGGTATTCCGGATCACGTGACAAAACGAGGCAGTGTTTGGTTATTGGTGCACGTTTGGGGCAACATGGGGCTGTGTCAAACAGTAACGCGTGTTTAATTGAACAGATGCATGAACAATATTTATAATGGTGTCTCATTTACGAATAACAAACACTGCAGTTGATAACAGCATCTGCTAGGTAGATAGTTTTAACACTTGATGCTCATTACAACACACACACATATTCCAGTATCAGGATTCCAGGTACCAACGTGGGCTAAAAATATTCTCTTGGGGTTTATACATACGTGGTTTAAGGTAAGGATATCTTCTATATCGAAATTTAGTCATATTCAGAAGTTAATCATACTAAGGGGTCGTGGTGTTTGTGGCTGATGAATTAGGTAAAATTCACTAGACGCAGATCTGTTGTGTATCTAATGTACTATTTTAATATTTTGACGTGGCTTTGACATGCGACTTTAACTTGTAAATTACAACTATCAACACAAAATAATCCATTTTCTTTCACAAACTGTAACGCTTTTATCCAGTTAATATGAGCCATTTATTATCGCGAGTCACTGAGAGTAAAGCTAACGAAAATAATAAATTAATACTAACATATTTGAACTCTTTATGTGTGTGTATGTTCATATGTCCAAAAAAGAAACAAACTAGTGTCTATTCCAGCCTCATTGATTCCACCTCTGGCATAAGTAACAGGGCATTTTTAATTGTCATAAAGCCCAGTCTCTGTTGCCGTGGTTAATCACGTAATGACAAGCATGACCACTCCTCCTCCTTTCTCTGCTGGTGCAGGCCAAGGGGGAGAACTTGGAACAGGTTCTCCAGCTACTCAGCGAACACACTGCCACCCCCACCAAGAATTCGCCTGAATGACCCTGCAAGACCTCTTAGCACATGACCAATGGGTAGACCAGCTACATCCATTCACATCTGTAACCAAATTATGCATATCTTCTGGAAAGGTTTCAATTGAGGGTATCCAGACCAGACTAGCATTTAGGTCATTAATATTTGTCTATTCCCTGTCCACTGCGAGAGAAGTCACGGGATCTGTTAACGGGGGTCTAATTTTAAACTTATGATAGCCCTTGATCACACTGTTTTCAAGTCTGATTGGCTGCCTTGAAGGTGCATGACAAGATGCTGCCGGTCTTAGTGATTGAGACAGTAATGGACGGACAGGTACTGCAGCACAGTCTTGTCGTAATGGTTGTGATGAAGACCCCACAGGAGTAACCTGGATACAAAGGAATATTGCTTGACTAAGATCAAAGGAGAGAAATGTAAAATTAATGCGTTTAGGCACACTTGTCTTGTTTAAATGCCTTGTCATGAGAACGTGAGATACGTTTCAAACATGCAGTCTCTGGGTGATGTAAATTACTTGCAAAACTTACTTTGACAACATGTAATGACGATACATACATTTATGGAATAGGTTTGAATGTCAAGGTAAAATGTACTCAAAGCGTTGTAAATAATACAAGGCCCACTTCTAGTCGGAAAAAAACATAATGCACAATCCGTTTCTTTTAGAAATACGTATTAGTGAGAAGTTATGTCATCTAATATGGTGTCAATGTGATATACCTAGTGTTTAGTACGATTCTCACACGAAGGACTCATGAATGGATCATCAGCTGAAACATTGGGATGAGTTGAGCAGTGTGAATGTATCCATCCCTTGCAAGAAACACATTCCACCCAAACGTGACCACATTCAAGTTCCTGATCCTCAGTCCACGACATGTGACAACCCATACAGATGACATCCTCCTCCTCTGCTTCACTCACAGCTGGAGTAGCCACTGGTTTACTCTGAATGAAGCCTTCTTCTTTCTCACTGACTTTCCCTCGGAAGGAGCGCCTCCTTGCAACATAAACCTAACCTTTGCACTTTTCTCTCGTTCGACAAACTGTCTAACTTTCTGAAGACACTTTAAACTCATGCCACTGATGCATTCATCTGACGTTACATTGTCTGCCATATTATCAAGAACATGGGTTCTTTTACGCAGAGAAACGTGCTTGATGCGTGGCAGTACAAGAGATTCTTGCAGGAGTGGGGATACCGACAACGTATCAACTTCAAAGGACGACTCTCCATCATCATCCTCAGTCATATCAAACGATGTAGCTACACTAGCAAGGAGTTCCAGTCCAGATATGTCCCCAGTGGTTGAGGTTGCATCGCGGATACTGGTAGTCTTCATGCATGACTTATCAACTAGGTACTGTCGTTCCCTCCAAAATCCAAACGTTAGCCCATCTCAGTATTTACTCACGGAGACTTAAACTGTTTGGTTGCTGATTTACCTTTTAGCCATTAAAAGTTAGAGGTAAGCCCTTGACCCAAAACGAACGTTACAACATGAACGTAAACTACGACTTCACCAAAATGTATCACATAGATTAATACATCATGTTTAAAATGTGACTATTCTAAAATCATTAAATACTGGTCAATATGTCACTGCCTATTCAAGTAAACAATTGCAAAAGTTTTCATTCTTTCCTGTTGAACGCTCAAATAATTATATTTTGAATTGTAAAAATTATGCTAGTTTAGTGGCTGTTGCACATTGAACTATACTGTATCTGTACTGTATATGTATACTGTAGCTGTGTTTGTACCATACAAAAATACATGAAGTTATTAAAACAAAAGAATTATATGAGTTGGAAAGAACAATCTTTTCAACACCTAAGCGTTGTGAAGTTGGTTATTTTCCAATATTGATAACCCTTTACCTTGCATACTCTTCTGTACAGCAAATTGCAAAACAGGTGAAATGAAGATTAACAAATGTTACGTATCTACTTTGTGCAAATTACATCCTCCACAGACCCTAAAGTAAGTATATGTTTTAAATAAAAGGAACCGATGTAACATCGTAAAAATAATTACTTTATTTCAACAGTTATTAACATTTGTCGGCAGTTGAAAGTTTTGAGATGATCCCTATATTCTGGTGATCCGGAACTGACTTAACCACGTGGTCCCATAAATTGCTTATTTCTCTAAAAATATGGCAGATGTAAATAATATTTTTGTTGCTTTATAAAGGTGAAATGTATATGTATGCAATGGATTGTTAACATTTAGCAACTTGATTCTGTTGTTATTTCACACGGGCCGTCCCGAATGAGTTACCTTTTCCTGACGTGCCAACGACAGATGACGCGATGAAAGGTGTCCTCGTTACAGGGCGCGCAAGTAAACTTCCGGTTCAGATCAAGTGAAACAAAATATATCATCTTGAAGAACACTGTCACGGCTTTAAAATAAGACATTGAGTGTATACATCCATTGAGGTTTACGGTTTCTAGGTGTTAATGTACGTGGAAGTGATCCGGAATACCCGTGATCCGGAATACCCTTACCCACTGTATAAAAAGAACTGTTGGTTCATATGCTGACAGGTTTTTTGGGACATGTTGGCGGTGGCGGTGTGTGGTCCTGTGCGTAGAGCTCAGGTCACAATCAGTTGAAGTTAAGCAACGGTGGTCGCGGACAGTCCTCGGATGGGTGACCGTGTTTGGCAGCTTGACTCCTGAAAGTTTCTAGGACTTCAGTCCTACCCCACAACGAAGCACATGTGACGCATGTGGTCTCACCTTAGGCAAGTGAGTTTGTTCAAACTTGCCTCTGTCCACCCAGCAGTAAAATGGGTACCTGGTATGATACGATGGTAGTCTGAATTTGAACCTTGAGCGCCTGACAGGCGACCGGTTGTATTCTCCAAAGGGAGTGTTCTGTACTCGTTGACCAGGGGGTAATATGTCAGCGCTTTGAGCATGCAATGTGCATGGATAAATGCGCAATATAAATGGACTATTATTATATACTATTATTATGTTGGTGACTTTTGGGGGATGTCGTACCCTTGAAAAATATCAAACTCTGGTGGCAGCATACACTGCTGCAGCTTCAGCTTTATTGTATGGGGATCAACCATCCAAAGGCCATCGCCTAGTAGCAGGCAAGATTAAAATGTACATATCAAATAATGAATTGAAGGATGTGTATACTTATATACTATTGCAATGGGAAACTTTATATTTTGTCAATTTATTTGTCTGAAATATCAAAGGAAAATACCCCAATGAATTAGATTTTAATATTTATTTATCCATGAAATGTTTATACATTGTTTGAAAGTAATTTAAAATATTACAATGAAATATTTATGTATTTGTTAAAATTTGAAATTAAATTCAAATTAATATACAGATAATTAGGACTACTTATATTTATGAAATTATATTTCTTGTAGCCATCTTATGATACTGTTGTGCAGTTCAAAACGTCTATTTGGTCTATGTATGGGCCAGAATGCTTACCAAACTTTGGAAACTTGCGACATTATAAGAGCTTGAAAGGCATTTTTCTTCGGCAAATTCGTTCCTTGCACCTTGTCATTGCTGAATTGTTAGTGGTAAACCATGTATTTACCAAATTCCCAGGTGTCATTCAAGTTTACGGTCCTTGGAACTGACTGGAATGGACCAGATTGTTTATCTCCAACTCAAACCGCGACCACGCAGTCATCATACTCAGCTGGTAAAACAAACTTGTCACAGGTCGAAAAATGCCCTTTCCTCAGTGACTCGTATAAATCAAGTAGCGATACATCTAGACTACATTCCACAAAGCCAAACGACCTTATAAGCTTACCCCACACTCTATTTGAACTGAAACGAGTAGCATTTTGGTTTCCCTGCTGCACGTTTTCTCGAGTTACGACAGACAGACAGACAGACAGATAGATAATTAAAAGTTTAATTCGGTGTTCGGGCAACAGGGTCCATTTAAACCTTGCCCATCATAAAGGTTTGCTTAGTTGCTAAACTTTTATTAAGTAGTAAAGCTGCCACATGCATTAATATAATTAAGAATGACATTCTGAACTTCATGGTGAACGATATTCCTTGAGCACAATAGTCGAGTCAATGAGATGTCAATATTGTGAGATGTAAGAGATTCCACCATCGCCTTACGTTGATTTACATATTTTTGGCAATGCAGTTAATAATGAGCCACATTATCTAGCTTATTATACACACTGTGCAAATTGCAGAAATATCTTTATTAATAATATTTAGGTCCATCACTGTTGCCATTTCGTTTGAGCATGGATCTTGCTGACGGTGCATAATTCTGCAGGAGAGGGCAAAATATTGTCTCATCCTGTTCTGATCCACCAAAGTCTAATGCAGCTTTTGCCAATTTATCAGCTTTTCCATTTCCAAATAGTCCAACATGAGCAGGTATCCATGAATATTCTACATTTAAAAGATCTTTACTTAAATCATTAAAGTGTCGAGTATAATAATATGCTAATAATATGCTGGGGAGAAACCTGTCTGAACTGCTTGTAAAGCACTGACAAATTCGCTGAAAATGACCGCCGATACAGGTCTCAAAAAATGAATCCAAGCTTCAATGATTGCTGCAAGTTCAGCAGAAAATACTGATAAGTGATCAACTAATCGTACACACTCCCTTTGTCCTTTTATAATCCGGAAAAATACGCCTGACGCGCTGGGTTGAAACTGACGCGGGTGGAAACCAGAAACCAGAAATTTTTCTTTAGGCCTTATAACCCTTACTTAGGTTAAAAGATTCACAAACGATTCCAATATTCAGAGATCAAATGTCACTCGTCAAGCTGTATGTACTCATCTAACAAAGAAAAGATTTGAAATGATAATAACTTTATTCCAGCATTCAGATCTGGATTTGTTTTCAATATATTTCTGTAGAACACAAACACAACATCTCTTGATACAATCTTCAATTCGGTATTTTAAAACATGCAAGGAAAACGTGGAGGGAATAATTAAAATAATAAATATGTTAATACATTTTCTATTTTACAAACGTATATAAAACCAAGAACTATCCTTTCATGGAAACTCTTTCAGTATTCGTCCACATCAAAAGAGTCGCTTTATGTAGCTGACAAATGACAGGTGTGAAGTAAAACAGTTTTGGGGTTTTTTTAAAACTTTTTTTGCAAACACAAAATTTTATACATTCTCCAAAGGAAGCACAGACATCGAAATCTATTATTTTTCATGTTTTGTAACTGCAGCACTGCAAACTTTCAACAGCCTCTCATGTTTCAAATAGTATGGCTCAGTGCAAGAATTCTTGATGGTTTTAAGATTTGCACACCATCTACACTAAATATGTTCATGCATTTGTATATTTTACAAAAACATTAATGTATAATTTTATGCGGATATACGCCATCTGTACATCCATGTATGTACAATACACACACCGTATACGCCTGGAAACGGACGGAATGTTTTATCCAACAGGATGCGAATCAGCTTTCAAGATGACAAGGCCGACAAACGTAATTAAATATCATTTACGTCCGCTTTCCTCACCTCAACAAAACCATGTCAAAGGCAGCAGATTGCACGATGAAAAGATATATTCCAACAGTGACGGGAAATTAGATTTATATGAAAACCAAAATTTTAGACATTTTAGTATCTACTGAAAAATCACGACTGTGTACTGACGAACATCCAAAGGATAGAACACAACCCAAACATATCTATATGCATATATTCAATATGTTAAGTACAACCATAAAAATGAAACATTTTAGGGAGATATACATATTTTCACATAAACATTTTTTGACGATTTAAGCACATATCCATGCGTGCTCGCAAACAAAACAAGAATCTGACATAAAAGTATTTGCAAATACACAACGCAAAATATTTGTATTACTTCAAAATATTTTCAAACACAAAACCCTGTTTACTTTATACATGTACAAGAAACTATGAACATCTTTCAAACAAACTCATACCATTGGTCTTTCCAAATAAAGGTCGCGTTACATAGCTGACAAATAGGTGCAAAGTAAAACATATATTTTGAAAAACTGCGATAAAACCAAATTTCATTCACGAAGTGTCATTCTTGTGACTACTGAAACACAGAAAATAAATACAATTCTCTCCTACTTCAAAGGTCCAATAATGGAACATGTTAAAATCTATCATGTACATGAAATGTGGTACGCATGAGATCATGTATCTCCAGTGCCTCAGGCCTGTTTCTGGGGAGATCCTGGTGGCACATTTGAACCACACCATGCAGGTCCATTAAATTACTAGCCACTTTGATCTCCTCCACGACAGAGCCCAATGCATAAACATCTGCCTGTGGGGAGGTGACACAACCCAGCCTCACCTCTGGAGCAAGTCACGAATGATGGCAGGTTTCGCTTGGCAGCTTGACTCACCTCCCGAAGGACGCCTGTCCAAAGCCGACCAGCTTCACCTCCAGCGTGTCCTTGTTGATGATGATGTTGTGGAAGACACTCCACAGCCGGCGTGTCCTTCACAACAACATGAAGGACAGCTGACTGGACAGGCTCAGGCAGATGTTTGTCCAACCAGGCTTGGACACAAGGTACCCCGACTGAAGGAGGTCCTGGAGCGAGATGAACCCCGTGCAGTCCTCCAGGACAAGACTGTATTCCCTCTCCGGAAAGCCCTGCTCCAGAACCCCCAACATCTGTGGCGTAACACATGTGTCAGAGAGTGATGATATTATTTTACCCTCGGTCATCACCTCAGTTACAGATCTGTTAAAGTCAGTTCCATCCTTGACAAGAACAGCTGTTTCATCCACAATGGTATGGAAAAACATTGCAGAGGCACCTTGACAATGTCCTCTTCGTCGATCATCTTAAATTTGACCTGCTGCCTCTCAAGTACAGGCAACTGCACGTCATCAAGACGACGATCCTGGGTGCTGATATTGCAAAAAGCATCAACGGATGGGTCGTAACCAAAGGCCTGTGTCAGGAGATCTCCTTCTGGTTTTGGTACTCCTGTTTTGACATCCACAGATGATGGTGAGGGCTTGGGAACGGCTAACCGGTCAGGCGAGCATCCATCACCTGTCATCTCAATCCCCTCATTATCCCGAGGCTTCTTGGACATCCACATCTTTTTGTCCGCGTTGAGATGGGTGCCACGCGTCCGGGGTTGCCTTTTCCTGGTTCCAACCACTGTTTCAAGATGGAGGGTTGAAGAAATTACCGGCGGTGCTGGTGAAGAGCTTTCTTCAGGCAGCTTTCCTCTGGGGCAACACTGTCAGGTGGAATTTCTGTTTCATCTGAATCTCCGGGCAAGGTTTTATCCTCATCAGTCGACTGGAGT